GATTGTCAGAAAAGTCATGATGCATTTTCACAATAAAAAACATAGAAAAAATACATCATGACTTTTCCGACAACCTAATATTAATTATATTTAACTATTAATAAGTGGATACAAGTATTTTATCTAAGTTATATAAATTTCTGAGCTGGGGAAAAATTTGACAAAATTCATTGCTTTCAGGGTTAAAAAATAAAGAGAATATGGATAAATTGTTAGTCATAAATATTTTCATTGTGAATGGATCAGTTGAGATTGGATACTGGTAGGGGGTTGAAGATTTCTAAAATGCAAACATATTTGTGAGCTCATAAGATTAATTTTATCAGCTAGTGGTCACTAAACCAATGATTAATGATAACAGTGAAAACTTTTAACCAAAGAAGAAATAAGCTTTGCTTGGAATGTGTAGAGAGAATAATGGGTCAATTTGTTCTTCCTTGCTCTGTATATTAGCCTTTGCCTCCACGCTTATGCATTAGGTGTATAAAGTGTATATATAACAGTCATATTTCCTGAGAGCCATACACTAGAGTCATGGGCAACAATAGGTTGATACCAGGAGGGGTTTGGAGCCTGGAGAACAAGGCAGTTGTTAGAGAGGTAACATGGTTAACAGAGGTTAACACCTAGAAATCTGTGGGTACAGAGGAAGTGTGAGAGGGCAAACCAAGAACTCTAGATGAGGAGGAGGTCATGGAATCTACAGATTCCAAACCCAGTTAGATAGAGAAGTTTCGGTATGATATGAGCTGGTAGAACTCTATGAAATAAACCCCATCCAAAGGCAGAGTCTGCCTTGGTGGCCTGAATAGTAAGAGAGGGACAGTTCCAACAGACCAGAGTTTCTTAACTTCTGCACTATTGACATCTGTAGCTGGATAAACCTTTGTGGGACATGTCATGCTCATTATAGGATGTTTAGCAGCATCCTTGGCCCTCACCCTCTAGATGCCAGTAGCCCTTCCCCTTCTGCAGCGTGGAAACCAAAAATGTCTCAAAATCACCCCTCCTGGAGAACCACTGCAGTAAACAAATGTAGGCTTCCTTAAAGGGGAGAGGAAGCAGGTTTAACAATGATATCTCTCAAGTTTCCCACATCAGGCTTCTTTGATATAGTTCCAAAACTGTAAATTTGACATTGTTATTGGGAGGAAAATTAAATCCCTAAATTCCCTATTAGGACTTAGACTCTAATAAAAAAATTGACTTCCATATTCCAAATCAATGAAAACTACACACAATAAATCCTACACACTAAAATATACAAATATTTTATGTTAGGAACAAAGAGATTTCTGAGTTGAATCATACATATATTATTTGCTGTAGGCCATATAATGGTACACTGTAACTATAAATTATTTACAACTGAAGTGTATGGTAATACCATAAAGCTGCCACACTAGACTTCCAAATAATACATCTGGAAGGAAAAAGTCAAATGTGTTTCATCCGTATCAAGATGCAAAACTGCTGGAAAAACATTGTTGCTGGCTTCATTCCTTTGAGGTTCCTACAGCACTTCTGTGATGGGCCTGGTTAGGGGCGAGTTTTGTCCCCCCAAAAAGATATATGTTGAAATCCTAAGCCTCAGTACTTCAGAATATGACTGTATTTGGAGATATAGTCTTCAATAGATAATTAAGTTAAAAAGTGGTCAATAGGGTGGACTCTACTCTAATATTACTGACTGGTTTCCTCATAAGAAAAGGTGATTAAGACATAGACACACACAGAAGGAAGATCTCATGAAGACACAGAGAGAATACAGCCATCTAGAAGCCAACTAGAAAGACCTCAGAAGAAACCTACCCTGCTGACACCTAGATTCTGCATTTGTAGCCTCCAGAATTGTGCGAAAATAGATTTCAATTGTTTGAGCCATGCAATCTGTGGTACTTTGTTACAGCAGCCCTAGCAAGCTAATATAGTCACTTTAACATCTTTCCCTGTGGTCTTGCTGTAAGGCGTTTGACTTCCTGGTGAGCACTCTCTTGCTCACCTACAGGTACCAGCACCACACCGATTGGATGACTTGGATGGAATTTGATTTTGAGATCTATGATAAAGTACTAATTTGACTCAGAAAATATTCCATGCGGACATTTACAGGTCTTAGGAGAAAGAGAAGCAAGGCAACTTTAAAAAATGCTTGGTAGCAGGTAAAATTGGGAATAACACTTTCTCAATGTTCCACATTTACCCTAGAAGTTGAACCCATCTTCCTGAAGATGCTCTGAGGAAACTAACTTATTATCATTTGTGCAATGACAGATGCCATTCTCAATTTTAAAATAGAGCTCTGTTTCTTCCTAGCTATATGCCTCATTTTTCTCAAGTATGCATTATTGTCTATAATTTAAAAGTAGGGTTAATATTGTACCCACTTTATTAGAGTTATCATGAAGATTAACTGATTTAGCCCTTGTATCTGGCTCATAGAAAGCAGCCCGTAAATGTTAGCTGTTATTCCTATCATTAATATTAGGTAGTGGTTACGTATGCGTTATATCTTTAATATGATCTTTTCTAGTTTAACTTGTATTGTTTTCTCATAAATTGTGTCTCAGATTCCAAATTATGAACTTGAAAGGTAATGGGATTAAAATATCAGCAAACACAGATATTTAGTTTAATATAAAAATTATATTTTTCCCCTAAACTATTATCATTATTGCATTGGGAAAGGTTAAGAAGACTAGTTAGAGATACTCTGAATAAGTCAGTCTAGGGGGAATATATGATAAGTCAGAAAAATTATATTCTAATCAAAGATGGTATGGTTATGAATTAACCATAAATTCAAATCATGGACAGCTAATATATATCATCTATATTAGCAGTCACATATTCCAGTAGAGGTTACCTTTATTTCATATCACATAATGAGAATTTACAAATGGCTGTTGCCTCAGCATTGCAGAAATATTCAACAATTTTGGAGGATTTTGACATTTATTTTAAAAAATGCACTGACTATTACAAAATGCACTATAAACAATTTCATGAACATGCCATGAGTCAAAGTGTTGATATGAACCTGAGGAAAATTTTATTATTACTTCATTCTCTCAAGTACTAAAATACATTTTGAAATTATTTAGAATAGCAATTTTTCAAACAATAATTTATTTGCATAGTTATTAATATGCACTAAACCACTAAAACTGGCCCATGTTTTAAAATTGCTGTATGATTTTTGGCTTTGCATCATTGAAAATACATGCTGAATGGCTAGATTTGTTTTAATATCAATGAATCATACCTATGCAATTATTTTTTATCTTATGTTAGAGAGAAATCAAGTTTTCATCTTAGAAGACATGACAAATGAAAATTATGTCATCATTTCTTAACATTTCAAGGAGTCCAAAATTTATAAAATCTTAAACAAAATGTGCTGTGATATTTACAAGACATGAGAATATTTGCATTACAAACCGGGGTGAGTCACAATTTTTATATAAATAAACACTTTCTTTTAAGAATACTTAAAATTGCAGAAACGCACTGTGGTTATACAGGAAATAAAGAGAAAGGATGAAACAGAGATTGAAACAGAAAAAAATAAGTCATGAAATTATGGGGAGAAGAATTTACTAAATTCAACTCACAGCAACAACTACCTATTAAATAATTATTAAGCGCTTTATGGTCTGTAAAATAATGAGTTGCTTTAAAAAAACAATGAAGAAAGGTGAAAAAAGGAAGAGAAGAAGGAGAAATACAAAGGAAAAGGAGAAAAGACCACAAACACAATCCTCTTCTTCATTACATGGGAGTCTTTCCAAATTTACATTATGTTCCAGTTAGGGGACGTCCCAAATTAAATATACTTCACAGATTTCCCTGTCAATTATTGAACTAGAGAGAAGGTCTTCAAATTACCCGGAAGGACTTAGTCCACTTTGAACAGCAGCACAGAGCTGAGAATCTCCAGTGGTGATCTGTAGCTGTTCATGACAGCTAAGACATCCTACCCTGATCTGTAGGCAGGGCATCTTCTTTACTGTGTGGCTCTGACAGAATGCATAAGAGGGTGGGGTGGATGTGCACTAGCACCCTCTACTCGCTCTTTTCTACCTGCCAGAGTCACCAGTTACATGAAAAGCCACTTCAAATGGACATGAAAACCTCAAAGGAAAGCTCTCCGAAAGGCATGCACCATCAAGATTCACCGTAGCTTGAAATTTCCTGGAAGTCATTCTTACCAAGGCTGAGAAAAGTGCTTTGGGCACTGTGACTTTAATGGCAACATAAAAATAACAAGGTATTAAACAAGCCTCAGCCTTCACAGACTGGAACAGGGATAGTGGGGGGAAATGTTCAAATTAATGAGATCCAGCTAATGGCACATTCAATCCATGTAAATTCATTATTCGAGGTTCTTTAATAACCCTGAGGTTGGTTGGTTGTGTGTGTGTGGTTTTTTTCTTTACCTACATTCTCAAAATAAGTGTGAAGTAAGATGAATGACTACTTTCTTCAGGTTTCCCTAGAAAGAGCTGCTATCTTCATTGCAATCTGGGTCCAGAAAATTGGGGGGAATAGGGATGGAACGCAGGAACAGTTTAAATTCTGGCTACAAACGTAAATAGGCTCCTCATATTTTCCACCAAAGATGTTAACATGGTGGATACAGGCCTGGACATCTTATAAGTGTGGAGCAGAAATCACAAATCATGCAATTTAGCATCAGAGGAAAAGCCTTTAGAAGTCATTTGGTCAAGTCTGTCACTTTTGATGTGAGGAACTGAGACTCAAGAGATAAATTGACTTCCCCAAGACAGCACAGTGACCTTGTGCGACAGAGAGGTCTAGGGCCTAGATTTCCTGTCACCTCCTTGAGTTCTTAAAACCTATGATACAAGTTGCCAGGGTGACCGGTTCATGGCGATCACATTTGTAATAGTCTTTAGGATGCAAAATGAAATAGAAATATAAGTGATGTCTCTACTTTATGATCCTCAATTCCAAAGGAAACAAATTGCTTTACTCACCTACAGGGAAAAACTCGCTCATTTTCTTTTTGTAGATTTTGAAGTCGACTTCTAAGAAGACACAGAAGATGATCCGATCCACCTAGAGGTAAACAATAAACACTCAAAGTGAAAGGATATAGGGTGACTGCCTTCCCAGAACATAGTCTTGGAACAAAAATCAAATGGAAAAGCCTCCTACAAATTTTTGGTGCTGTACTGATAACTATATGGAAGCATTGAGTGACGTTCAAGTGGGTGTGTGACTGTATACTGTTTATGTAAGTAAACCCATGGACTCTTTTGTGAAAAGATGTTATATAAATCAAATAAGAAATAATAAACGACAATAAGCCACTATGCAGCAAGCTATAAATAAGATCTGAGGTTCTGACAGGATACCTAGACTTTATGTCTTATAAAACAGCCACACGAGAGGTGTGCAGCAGAATGACAATAAAGTATGTCAGTAAACAAAGCTCTTTGTCATACCCTTGTTAGACAAATATATTTATCAAACATGACAGTATTTGAATATAGCCTGAAAAGCTTCTTGCAGTTTAACTTGCATAAAGTCACTTGCTCTTAGCTTAACATACTCAGAAATTCAACATAAATAAAGTATAATTAATTGACAGTGATATGAGGTCAATATAACTTTAATCTGGTAGATATTATGGAATAAATAAATGATACCTCTAAAGAAAATTGTGTATGCAGTCTTTTTTTTTTTCTGTTCTGAGAGAGTTTCTGCATGTAGTTTCTTTGAGACATTCAGAGAATAGTATGTAATGGGAAGAGAGATGGGGTACACATAATAGCTCATGTATATCTGATATTAAATCAGTGACTCAATTTTGTGTCTTGAAAATAAATACCCCTTTAGTTCCTTTATTTAAACAATGTACACTAAGTTAAAAATTACTCGGTCTATCAAACTGCAACTGGCAATTGACTAGAGCCATCAAGTGAGGCATTTCCCATGGCAGCAGGGAAGGGGAGTGGGATGAACACACATGGCAGGACATCATCCACAGATATCATCCACCAGCCCCTCAGCCCTCCTAGCCTGTGGGGTACAGATTCATGCTAGCCAAGCCCAAAGCTCCCTATAGGAGAGAAGATGTACAGGGGTTGAAGGGGTAGAGGGAGGGCGAGGACACAACGAGTCACCAGGGTTCCCTGGGAGATGTGGCTCTCTGATCCCCGCACATTTAGATAGACTGCCTTCTGGGCAGTAAATAGACTTACATGGTATAATCACCAAAGACCATGCAGCCCCAGTGACTGCCCCCATAGGATGGGTTATAAGAGAAAACATCTGGGCTTTAGAAATGGAGGAACTGGGGTGCAAATAACCATATTTTCTTTTCCCTACATTCACTTGAGTTTCAGGAGTCCAGTTCAGTCTGCATATCATTAACATTTTATTCAAATGGAAAAACTGTCATCATCAACTCATTCTCCAGATGAACTATAAATTTAGCTGTATAAATGATTAACTATCTGTGCAATACTGAATGCTCATCTCCACTCTCCTTATGGTGCATTTATGCCCTGTGGCTAAAGATACAAATCATAATGTTGAGCAATAGAAATGAGTTCCAAAGGGACGTATACTCTAGGATGCCATTTATATAAATGTTTAAAGCACAGAGACACAACAGTGTAGGGATTCAACCATAAGTACTAATATTCAGAAATATACACAGGAATGTCACGCACGAGCTTCAGGGTGATGATGATTTCTAGAGAAGGAGGAAAGGCAAAGGAATGAACAGGAAAGGCTTAAACTGAATAGCTAATATTTTATTTATTTAGAAAGAAAATAGAATTTAGAAAAGTGTTGAAAATGGGTAATACCAATTAACTATGGAGGTAGGTACATGGTTTTCACAAAGTTTTCTATATTTTCTGTATATTTGAAATACTTTACAATTAAAAGTCTTAACACTAAAAATAAAACTTTGTGTTAGACATACTCTACTCTCCAGCTGCACTGAACTACTTGTAGTTTCCCAACACCATAATTATTCTCACTTCTGTAACCTATGATGACTTTTTCTCCAGGTTGAGATTTTCTCCATGGTCAGATGATTTCTAAAACCACTTAACTGAGATCAAAATCAAAACAAGAAAATCTGGCTCAAAGGAAATCTAAGAAGATAAAGCTAAACAGTCTCATTTTTACTCTTTCCCCCTATTTTTATGGCTACTTAGTAAAAATTACTGTATTTTAAAAAACCTCATTTTGTTTGTGTATGTCTGCTTGCGTGTGTGTGTGGGGGGGGGTGTGTGGAGAGGGTTAATGGTAATATTATTCACTGTTATTAAACGCACTTTTAAACAGCATAGGTACCAAATAAAGATTTCTTAAATATTGCAATGAATTACAATCCACCTTTTAGCACTTCAGGCTTTGTTACCATGGAAATGACATGGGTCCAAAATTCAGAAGTCTGATTTATTTTCCCAGAGAGAAGCTGCATGATGAGGGAAAAGTACTTTTATTTCAAACTATTGATAATCGGGTGGCCCAGTTCCCTGCCCTTACCCTCAGGCATAACACTGAAAATATCTTGGAAGCAAGAGGAATCCAAAAATTAACTTCATTTGCCAAATACTTGTTATATACGCATATGTGTATGTATTTATGTCTGTGTGAATAAACACATTCTCTGTTGGACAACACCTCATTTCATTGACTAACTCTGTGTTCATAAACTCATCATAGATATTGATCACTGCTTGTAGTACGCTGCATTTTCCAAGATGGTGTGTGGTGAGATACCCCATACTCAGGCCCCTCTGAAAATGTAATGCTAATGGTTGTTTCATTGAGAGATGGGATCTTTATTTTCTCCTCCTGAATCTGGGAGTGCCTAAAACTTTGGCAGACATGATATGTGACCTCTGGGTCCACATCTTAAAAGGTGATACAGTGTCTGCCTGGTCCTTTTAAGAGGCTTATTCATGTACCCAATCTTACCCTAAAGAAGCAGGTGACACAAGGAGGAGCCACGTGTAGAACTTCTAGCCAACAGCCCTGACTGAGAGTGAGTAGCCTCTAGATGATTCAGGCTTTTGAGCTACTCAAGTGATGCCACATGGAGCAGAGATGAGCAGTTCCTGCTGAACTGTGCCCAAGTTGCAGATTCTTGAGCAAAACATAAAAATACATTCCTAGAAATTTGATGTTCTTCTAGCTTTTTCCTATTGCCATTTTTCGGATTCTTGCTGTTCCAACTATGTGACGCTGGACTTCTGCTGAAAAGCTCAGGCTGAATGGATCAAGTAGAAGCCACATAGGGTGACAAGAAGGATAGAAAAAATATAATAGCTACATGACTGAGAGACTGGATATCTGACTTGTGCAAAGGGGAAGGGTCCAGGTGAATCATTCTAGCCCCAGATAAAGTTCAAGAGAATATATAGAAATGCCTAAATATTGAGGCCCAAGGGCGTGGTTTCAATTTTTCTTTTGTTAGGCTATAGAATAACTTTGTAAAATGGTTGTTCTTGGGCCGGCCAAGTGGCGCGATGGTTAAGAACTGGCTTGGGATGCCAGAGGGCCCCGATTCGGATCCCATATATGAGGGCCAGTGACACTGCCCTCTACAGCTAAGATGCTTAACAACAGCTCAACCTGGAGCTGGGCTGCCATGAGTCGCTGGCGCCCGCGTAGGCTGCAGCCCCTGTGGCAGTGGGTTGCCATGGGCTACCGTGTGTAACCAGCAGCCAGTGTGAGCAGGCAGTAGCCGTCGTGAGCGGCCGTCCAGAAGCCCGCGACTGATCTGCCTCGCCAGGGAAGAGCGCAATGATGGTGCCAACTTGGGCCAGTGAAGCAACATCCTCCACAACTAGACTAAAGAGCAAAAGGACAGCAACTTGTCTGTTCCCCTTCCCCCAATTCCCCAGCGCTGTTCCCATCCCCCCCAATTCCCCAATAAATATCTTTAAAAAAAATGGTTGTTCTTGAGAGACTAAGTTTATTAGCCTACTTACTAGATACTAATTGAGCACTTTCAATTTGTTGGACCTAGCCTATGTGCCATTCTCTCACAAGAAAACTTGAATCCAAAATCGAGTGATTATTTTCTCCCAATGCCAAACAATTAATTTGTGGCAAAATTTCAGGCAACCTAACTTCACATTCAGCATTCTTTCTGTGTTATCACCGAGATGGACACAAATAGGACTGAGTTTTTACACCTTCACTAGCTCTGTGACATTGGACAAGCCATTGACTCTATGGGTTCCAGTTTTTATATGTTTATAAAGAAAGGATTGAATTGCATCTTCTTTCTATTTTTTTTATAATCTCAGTTATAGTCTGCCTCTGCGGTAATTTGTACTGTGTCAACTTAGTTAAGGTGGAATTACATTTCTCTGAATGGTTCTGGGTTAGGAGTGACCACAGAGGAATCTCTATGAGATGTGGAGGGTAGAAGTGTGGCTGTGGCCATTGTGCTAGGTGGATGGGTGCAGGGCATCAGGGTCTGGGCAGGTCACAGGTCATGTGTGGCTCATCAGAGGGCTCACAGCTTCTCCAGCTCCTGCCAGTTCTTCTGCCTCAGGTTCTCTGGGTCCTGGGTTGGGCAGCAGCCCCAAGGGCATTGCAGCTTTGGATTTCCATGCTGTGAGCAACAGGTGAATGTGGCAGTTAGTCTCCGTGGGTTCCAGTTTGCCCTCACAGCTTCCACTTTGTATCCTGCTTTCCTCTTCACCTGCCCCTTGATTACCTGCCCTGCTGACGTGCTCTAGGCCTGGTCAGATGTGGGGCAGTAGCTTTCCACAGACATCTTCACCAGCTCCCTCTCATGGGTCCTGGTTGCGGGCTTTTCACTGCTCAGCCAACCATCCCCTCTGGACATTTATTTTCTCAGTTTCTCTCACAACTGTACAAAATCTAATCCCTATAACAAATCCCGGATTCTAATATCACTCACAAGGTTCTGCTTCCCTGATTAAACCCAAACAGATATAATCTTTAATATTATATCATTGAATATCATGTAGAACAACACAATGAAGGGCAAAAAGTAATAACAGTGTTCCTTTTTGGAGGTGTGTAACCTGTCAAGGATACTAAAATTCCAATTACTTCCTTCCACATGAGCTTTTGTGGGTCCTAGCCCATATTCTGAACTGGAACCTTATAAAGAATTGGGTGGTGCTCACCTTTATCCCCAGAGCATGGTGTAGGTCCTGACTCATAATATGAGTTCTGTAAATATTTGCAGAGTATATGTTTAGGCAAACAGACTTCACTAGAATGTAAGTATATAGCAGATATTTTTCAAGGATGTTTAGTTTCCAGAACCAAACATTAATTTCTTTAGTAGGTAGAATTTCCTTTGTATTTGCCAGAATACCTGAGAACAGAATTATAGAGGAGCCTGGGTGCTTTTGCAAAGTAGAAAAGAGCTATATAAAGGGCATGAGTCATTTATTGTTACCACCTGTCATCTTCTCCAGTGACACTATGCTGAGTACAATTGCTTTTGAGTCCAGTACTGATATTTTCATATAGGGTGCTTATTAGTTTCACAATGGAAACAATGATACCACCTGTAAAGTAAAATGTATTAAAAGTTTAAAAAGTTATAAAAAAAGAAAAGGAAATATTAAATATTGGCAAGGTTGTAGATTAGCAAAAACTTTCATATTCTGCTTTTGGAAGAAACAAATGGTGCAACCACTTTGGAAAATTATATGGCAGTATCTATTAAATTAACTGAATTTGCACATAGCCTAGGACCCAGCAATTTTACTCCTAGGTAGACACTGGCGGAATGTGCACAAACATTCACTAAAAGATTCATACCTCAATGTTCATAGAAACACTATTGTAATATCTCCAAATTGGAAGCTATTTAAATGTCTAAAATGGTACAATAGGCAAATAAATTGTGATCTATTCATACAATAAGAATCTGGAGAAAAAAGAGTACACACTGTATGATTCCATTCCTATAAAGTTGAAAAACATTACAGAAATAGGGAAAATCACCTACAGTGCTAGAAGTTAGTATAGCAATGACTTTGGGGTGCAGGGTGGTGAAAAGGGGCCAAGGGGAAGACCTGGGACGCAGGTTTTTTTGATCTGGTGCTGGTTCCATGAATGTGTGCAGTTTGTAAAATATTATCAAGCAGTGCACTTAGGATCTGTGTTCTTTCTATATGTTATACTTCATACAATTTTTTTTAAGGTTGAAAAGTCTTCTGTTACAGTTGTCTTGGTCAACAACAAAAATCTATTTTCATTGACTTAGAGGTCAAAAAAGTCCTTTAAAAGCTGACCTTCTAAAGTCAATCTCTCTATATATTTCTATTGATGCCAACTGTAGATCACCTATCAAGACATAAAAGAGTAAAGATGTATTTCTTTCACCCAGATATCCATTAATCCACAATTGGGGGTTTTATGCCCCACAAACATGATGACATAAGTTCTATTAATCTTTTCAGCATCATATCCACTGCCCGTGAAGAGAATCTGCAGCCAACTTGCATTTTTTTCATGGCTACCAGTCCTAGGGAAATTGACATAGCCAAGATTATCCTGTGTTTCAGTGACACTGGGAGAATAAATGTGTTATGATAAATGTAATTTGCTTCCCCAATGACAAACAAAAAACATTCAGAGATCTTGTATGCATGCAAATACTGCTTTAACTAAAGACTGATGGAGCGCTAGGCTGTTTACAAACAGGGGCAAAGTCTCCTCCTGAAAGATAAACTAATAGCCTCACCAACACATGCTTGCATATTGAGGTATTTTCACAAAGCTGGCAGCTGCTAATTAGTGAATTCAATTTCAGGACTTAAATATCAAAAAATTATATAAGGAAAGGTTTTGAGAGAGGTGGAAAACCAGCACCACTGGAATTTGCTCTATGCTATGAGTAAATCAAGGTTAAATAGAGTAACAAGGGGATAAATTCACAAGAGAGAAATTACAGAACAAAAACAAAAAGCTGGAATGCCTGGGCCCTAGTCCCTCCTCCACCATAAAATGGAGTAAAGTAGAGCACCCTGCCCTTCTCCCCGTGTATTAGCTCTCTGTTGCTGCATAACAAATTACCACAAATTTATTGGCTTAAAAAAACAAAGTTTTATTATTTCATAGATTTTGCTGGTGAAAAGTCCTGGCTTAACAGAGTTAAGTTCTCTGCTCAGGGTCTCAAAAGCTGTAGTGAAGGTGTTAACTGCATTGCAGTTCTCACCTGATGCTTGGAGGCCTTCTTCTAAGCTCATTTAGGTTGTTGGCAGAATCCAATTCCTTACTGTTGTAGCACTGAAGTCTCCGTTTTCTTTTTAGCTGTCAACCAGAGACAGCGTTTAGCTTCCAGGGTCACTGGCAATTCCTTGCCAGGCAGCCCTGAAAGGAAGCTCAGGACGTGAATGCTTTCTTTCTTCCAGGCTAGCAAGAGTGTGTGTCTCTATGGCCTTCTACATCTCCAACCTCTATTAAGAGCCCACCTAATTAGGTCAGCCCACCAGGACACTCTCCCTCCTAATGAACCCAACTGATTAAATGCCTTCATTACATTAATAAAAATCTCTTTTGCCTAATTGTGCAAGTGACTACCCCATCATATGCACAGGTACCACCACACTCAAGGGGAGAAGACTAGGCAAGGTGTACACACAGGGGGTGGGCATCTCAGAGCATCTTAGACTTCTACCTCTCATATCCAGTCATCTCCATGTAGCCAACTGCCTATATTCCAGTCTGGACTTGACCACATACCAGCTCTGTAACTTCGAGTAGGTTATTTAACCTTTCTAAGCCTCAGCATTCCCATGTCTAAAATGGAGACACTAACTTGTAGAGGTTGGTGTTTTAGTTTTCTGTTGCTGCATGACAAATTACAACAAACTTTGTGGCTTAAAACAACTCCTGTTTATTTGCTAATGGTTCTGTAGGTGAAAGGTCTGGCATGGTGTAACTGGGGTCTCAGTTCAGGGTATCATGAGGGTAAAATCAAGGTGTCAGCTGTACTGAATTCTTGTCTGGAGGTTGTGGAGAGAAACTGACTGGTAAGCTCATTCTTCTTGTTGGCAGAATTTAATTCCTTGAGGTTGCAGGACTGAGGTCCCTATTTCCTTGCTGGCTGCCAGCTGAGGGTAACTCTCAGCTCCTTAGAGGCCACCTGTATTACTTGCCAGATGTCCACATCCATCTTCAAGCCAGCAAAGGCATTTCAAATTTTTCTCAATTTGGAATTGCTGACTTCCTCCATACTGACCTCTAGACCCATTTAAAGGACTCCCATAATTAGGTCAGGACCACCAGGATATTCTCTCTATCTTAAGGTCAACTGATTTGGAACCTTAATTATATCTGCAAAATATTTTCACAACAGAACCTAGGTTATTGCTTGAATAAGTCAGAGAAGGCATGTGTATACCAGACACTGGGAATCTTGGGAGAATTTTAGAATCCTACCTGCCACCGTTAGCTATAATGACCACATGAGATACTCTACAAAAGTGCTTGGTAGAGGGTTTGACATATAGTAAATGCTCCATAAACACTCGTTATTTATTCATAAAGTTATTATCCATCAGGTACCTGAAATGCCTAGTACCTTGCTGGCATGTAGATATAATAACTGTTCACTTGGTGAGTCTTTTATTTCTACCCTGATCTTTTAAAACAGGTGAAGGAAAAGTATAAGCCAGATAGAGAACATAGGAAGCACTTTTCCTGACTGGTATTCCGAAAGGCCATTTTATTCCAGTTTTAACATTGCTGAGGAATTCTATCTTGAAATAGGCATTTATAAAAATGTCCCATGTTACATATAAAGCAACTGTGTGTGTGTGTGTGTGTGTGTGTGTGTGTGACAATATCAGCCAATGAAAGAAAGGAAAAAAGAGTAAACTAACAGTTGGGCTGCAGCAATGAAAAGGATTTCACAAGACCCTACAGGAGTCTCTGCTCTGACATTTTAATGTCCTTGTCAAATGTCACCAAATATCATTCTTCTGGTTCTTAAATATGTTCAGGTTTGTGCACTCCACCACAGAAGCTAGTATTTCAACCTCTAAATGACAGAAGAGGGATTTTTTTCTCTGTCCCCAGAGACATTTGGATGAGTTGGGGATCATTTATAATCCATAAACACTCAAAGGGCATTTTTGCATTGTGAAATTGCTCTGCAGGCATAAAAAGGATCCTTTATTTTGGGGGGCAATTTGCAAACTCAGTTCATCTGTCATTACTCTGTGGCAGCACAATTCAGAGTCTTCTTGTTTTGATAAATTGCTCTTTTTGACTTTTCTTCAACTCTGTAAGAAAAAAATGGTCATGTCTCGGAAGATCCAAGAGGTATTTTGATTTGAGCCAGAGGCTCATTTGTACAAGTTAATTTCCAAGCCTGTTTCATAATGGTCAAAATGGACAGCCTCGCAACGGACACATCTATTGTGGTCCTTGCAGTTGTTCCATGTGCCAAGCATAGAAGAGACACAGGCCCACACACAAGAACTTAGGACCTACAGTTCTAAATGCTAGTATGGCAAGCATGACCTGCCCTGCCCTTATAACTAAAGAAATGATCCTGGGAAATACTGGGAAAAACACCAGTCAAAGATAAAGAACAGAT